TCTTCCAATGTGAATCCAGGGTCTTTAAAATGTCAATACTTTTATCCTGGTAATTTCATGTCTGAGAATTGACACTAAGGCAACAGCGCAAAATGCAAGGTATGACTTTAGAACAGCATTCATGATAATAGTTCAGGGTGATTAAAATATATTGGTGAAATTGAATGAATAAGTAAGTAATTGAATGATTGATGGAAAATAGTGGAAACATTGGAAACCATAATAGAAGAATGGTTAATATACATTCACTGTGTAGTTATTTTAATCAATAATAATGTTCTGAAAATTATATAAGTACATGGGAAAATGTATGATAACTGGAAGAAAGCAGAGTAGAAAAAAGATACTTTATTATTATAGAATGATTACAACTCAGACCTCTGTTTAGATAAATAAACTTGAAGGAAATACACCCATCAAATTATAATGGTGGTAGTTTTGGCCTTCTGTTCTCTATTTTTCCAATATTATTCAATACACTTAATTCATTTTTATAATGAAAAAAGGTGGAAACTTTGGGACTGTTCATTTTGGACTTATGTTTGAATTGTCTGAAACATCAAAGCGATAATAAATAGGAAACAATTAGAAATTGACTTGGTATTCAACTCCGGGTTTACACATTGGAGACATTTAATAAATGTCAACTGAATGGAAGTTCTAACCATTTTCTTTCCCCTTGGGTCAGAATCCTAGAATCCTATTGCAATGCATTAGAAGTTTTTACCATCATTTGAACTTATATAGGCCCACAGAATGGGGGAAGAAAACCTGTTCGCTTTTTCAACTCCATACCTGAAGCAGTTGGAGGGGACTCTCCTTCCCTGTGCAAAAGTAATTTTAATCAGCCAATCGCAAATAACATGAAAAATACTTTATTTCAAGCATATATCATTTCATAAAGTTATTTTTTTCTTTTGTACAAAGGGAGCATTGATTGCTTTCCTTAATACCCGTATCCTTTTTCTTACCTAGCAGCTCTTGGTCAAGGGTCAAGGGTCAAGGGTCTGCTCTCACTGTTTTCAAATTTTTAATGAAATAGAATCCAGAGATATACTTAAACCTATTGAATTTTGATGGACTTCTGATAATCCAGATATTTTCTAAAGGGTTTCAGTGCATTAGTTGAGCATGTCAGCATCCTGTGTGCCACATCAGATGTGTTTTGTTTTAAGATTGCTTCTCTTGGGGCCCAGAGTCGTATTTAGAAGAAAGGACGGTTTTTCACTGTTACCGTAATAAATTGGAGACATGTTTAAAGTTGGGGGTGGGGATAACATGAGGTGATCTTGTCGTTGCTTCTATGCCATGGGGACAGGGACCAAGCCCCCCAGCACTCAGACTAGGACTTGATGTTGTCTGGCCCGGGTATCTGTGAACAAAAGGGTGTGCAAATTCATGCTTCACCCTTCACTCACATGGTCTAGTGTTTCAGAGCACAGCCCAATTCTTTTAACAGTTTTTGCAGGCAAAAGGAGTGGTGCAGGGCGGGGAGAAAATGGTTAATTTCGAGGCTACTGACTAGGCCACGGAGAGTTTAGACTGTCATTCAAAGCGAACATCTAGGCGGAAACTTCAGTGATGTGTCATGAGGGTAGCTGGGGCTCTACCTACCTGAAAATAACTTGCCACCAACTTCTCACAGAATTTAAAGTTCCCACTGAAGTCTGGCTCCTTAACAGCCTCTTTCATGAGTTGTATATATCTTATCCCATTGGCTTGAGGAATTATCCATTTCCTAGTAGATGTTTGATTAATTCATCTGGTACCACCAGTAGTATACCCACGAAAATGGAACATAGATAAGTTCAGTGTACATGTGTGGCAAGGGTGTATGGATGTAAGAAGGGCTCAAGGGCTGGAGCACAATACTTGAGGCCCTTCCAAATCAGGGGTCACTTGGGTGGATCTAAAGGCCAGGGTAATGGGAAGTGGGGTGAAGGACATCCAATTCAATTCAACCGGTATCTGCCAAGCACTTCCTACGTGGAAGTCAATGGAATAAGTGTCCGTAGAGACCAAAAGAAGGAAGAATACCATGTGGGCTTTTCACTCAAGGGAGTTAACCATTACAGTGTCTGGGAAAGAATTAAATAATTATAACATTTGTGGGATGTTTACTGCGTGTTAGGTACCGTTCTGAGTTCTGTGTCTGTGTCACCTGGTTAATGCTGTCATCGACCGGATGACGTAGGTACCATGACTACATTCCTGTTATAGATCTGGAAACTCAGGCACAGGGGAATCCAAAGCCTTTGAGACTTCAGTCCCAGCATTCTGACTCCAGAGTCCTTGCTTCGAAGTGTTATTCTATACTGCCTCCCAGACGGATGTTTTATATTTCAGGGCCTCCGAGGAAAGGTGAACCAAAAATGTGAGCGCATGCTCGGTAGAGAACAGTATGTCTGTTTGGCCAGACTTCCTCTACCTCATTACCTGAAACCGTGTCAAATGTGAAATGTACAAAGAACCTTTTGGCTGTTGTAAGATATTTGACTTGGCTGGTTTAGCAGGCCCTTATCGCCCCAAACCCAAGTGTTCAATATGATCCTAAATATTCTTGGCTTGCAGTTAATTGGACCTAAGGGATTTTGGGGGTTATTGTTCTAAAGTCTTAGCCAAGAGATATTTTCTTTTTGGACTTGCTACCTGAAATGCGGGCAGCTGAGCAGAGTTACTTGGTAGCCTTTGATCCCATTAGAGAGTTCTGAATTGGTAGCTCAGATCCTTGAATGAAATATGATATTAAAATAACACCAAGCTGAAGTCATAGGAGATTGCAGTGTAATGTATATAGTCAGAATAGCCAAGATTTAAGGGAAATAAAATGAGTTTCAGTTGGCTTCATTTGCTCACTTGTGACTTTCCTTTCACCCTTCAGTGATTCTTAACCCACCTCTTCACATAGCAGGGACACAGCAAAACATAAAAATCTCTAACTCAAGTGTAGGGATTTTAAATCTTTCAGAGCTCGATAAACACCAGCACCCTTTATCACTCCAAGAAAACCCAGGGACAAATGCAGCTAACGAACTTGAATTTCTCGAAGTTTAGCTATTGCTCTGATGTCATCTTCCCGCACTATTTTATGTTCACAAGTTTTTGCTTCAGCACATGTGGCCTTTTTTGAGGGAGGCCTAACCCAATGACCTAGTGTTGGCAGATGGACTGTGTATCATCTAGATCCTCTGATTTTATTAAGGGTGGTCTATGGGCCTTTCTTTTCTGCCCTCTCACCAGTGGCCAGCCTTCACCAAAGGCAGTAACTTCTTCAGCAAATCACACAAACAACAGTATTTCAGCTTATTTACAGATTCATTTAGCAAGTGCTGATTGGAAGCTTCCTGTGTGCCCAAGTGGGACCTGGACTAGTGTCTTCTTAAATTCCATACCCTCGGCACCTCAGTTGCCTCACCCTAGTTCTGGCCTCGTGCCCAAGCACTGTGCAGGACACTGTCGCAGAGCTGATACAGATATGGCCCTTACTCCCAGTCCTGACAGCCCAGTAGGAGACACATAAATGAACCATGGATGTTGTTGTTATTGTCTCAAACTATAGATTAAGCCATGCTACACATTTTTTTCCATTTTCTGTACCTGACTAAATACTGAACTCAAAACAGGAAAAAAGGGCTTCCCTGGTGGCACAGTGGTTGAGAGTCCGCCTGCCGATGCAGGGGACACGGGTTCGTGCCCGGGTCCGGGAGAATCCCACATGCCGCGGAGCGGCTGGGCCCGTGAGCCATGGCCGCTGAGCCTGCGCGTCCGGAGCCTGTGCTCCGCAACGGGAGAGGCCACAGCAGTGAGAGGCCCGCGAACCGCAAAAAAAAACAGGAAAAAAAAAGAAAAGTAATTTGGATATATGATTGCCTTTAAAGTTAACTTACAGATTTTGCCGAAAAAAAATATTCAAATACTCCTCTGTCAAACCCTCAGAATTAGCCTAGGGAAGAATATCTTAAATGCTGTCATTTACCCACTGAGTGGAAAAGTAAAACTCTTTGTTGTCTTAATGAAAAAATAACAGTAATAAATGCAGAGGCAAAACGTATGTGGAGCATAAGTGGCCTTACCAACTCACTACTATGAAAGTGTTTTCTTAAAATTGTAGTCAGTCAAAGGGAGAGAGAAGTATCATATGATATCCCTTATATGTAGAATCTTTAAAAATGATGTAAATGAACTTATTTATAAAACGAAACAGACTCACAGACATAGAAAACAAACTTATGGTTACCAAAGGGGAAAGAGGTGGGGAGGGATAAATTAGGAGTTTGTGATTAGCAGACAGAAACTACTATATATAAAATAAACAACAAGATCCTACTGTATAGCACAGGGAACTATATTCAATATCTTGTAATAATCTATAATGGAAAAGAATCTGAAAAAGAACATATATATATATATACACACACACACACACACACACACACATATATATATATGTATAACTGAATCACTTTGCTATACACCAGAAACTAACACAACATTGTAAATCAACTATGCGTTAATTAAAAAAAAATTTTGTAGTCAGTCACATAGTTATTTTGGAAAGGGAGAGTAAATTTCCCTTTTGGTTTCTAACTTACCTTCTGGGGACTCACACTGCAAAATTCCCTTGTGATGATACTGAGATGGGAAGCAAGATGCTGGAATTCATCTTTTCATGACTTAAGTTCTGCAACTCAACTTTTGAGCAAGCACGATGCTTCACCCTCCTTTTTCTCACTCTTGATAAAGTCTGATTTGGATGGTGGGAGAGCCATTCACACTGTCCACTTCTTTGCTTCTGTCCAGCCAGTGGTAACCATTGGTGCACACATCTAGCATTTAGAAAGGGCCATTTGATCAAAAATGTTTATTGTATCAGGGTCGTGCTGGCCTTCCATTGTGTTATACACATTGTTCTATTTTCAGTCAGTGGACTTCTTAAGATGTAAGTCATCTAGAGACAAGTTTCTGTTACAGTTTTTAATATTAATTTTTTCTCATTGCAGAGCAAAGAGATTGCATTCCAACTTCATGAGGACTTAATGAAGGTTCTTAACGAGCTCTATACGGTAAGCACGTAATCTTTCTTTTGGAAAAATCTTTGGTTTAGAATTCTGGTTTGCAGAAACACTTCTCTTATTAGAACTCATTCCAAGCTAAAGTGTTGATGGATGCTTGTCTGGTTGAAATGTGGAACCGAGTGGATAGATGGCACGAGACCGTTTCAAGTAAATATGTATATGCAGTCAGAACACTTTAAGAAACTGGACTATAGTTGTCCCAAAAAGAATGCTTTTATATGGTTGGATTATATGTGATCTATTCATATATTCAGTTCCAGAATATTGAGGGGGAGGGGTATCTATTTTTCCTTCTTGGCAATAGTTTGCTTTTCTGAATTTAAGTTTTTTCAGGTTAATGCATATAATCAGAAGAAATTAAAGATTAACTATTAAAAAAACAAAATCAGTGATTAATCATATGCCTATGTATATTTTGTTTTACAATTAATGATCATATTATTAAATACAAATTCCTTTCGGAGGAATTTAACGAGTTTTTATTTTATAAGAGAACAACATAATGAGAATTGAGTAATGTTAATTTGTTCTAACTATAGATTTTGCATTTTCATTACACAAGATTATTTGAATTTTTCTTTACAGGCAAATTAAACCTGAAACTTATTAAAATATGTTTCTTGATTTACAAATTCATTTGTTCCTAAAAAGGAAGTGTGTAAAATACAGTTTTGTGAATTAAATTGCTTTTAATGCTCCACTGATACTTGCTAATTAAAAGAACCTGTAGTTTTAAACTTTATAAAATGAGTGATATTCTTAGAAAATCCACTTTCCAGTTTTATTCTACATGTGTGATAAATTTGTGTTTTTATGCAGCATGTTTGCTACACCTGTGCTTTTGAATTAACTTGACAGTTTCTAATTGCTTGTTCCTCCTTCAGAAACCTTTAACTTTATGTGCAAAAGCCTCATGTTATAAGGTCATATCCATATAAAAGGCCATTTATTAGCCCACGCTTGGTGTGATTTATTAATTTCTGATAACCTAAGGTATCAACCATTTCTAGAAATCCTGGATGTAGAATTTAAAAGTTAAATCAGCATTGTGCCTCTGAGACTTCCACAGAAGAAATTCTATCTTCTTCCATTGAACTATTTTAAGATGAGGGCTTCATGGCACCTTCCTTGTGGTTCCCTTTGCTTGGGCATTGTTTTACCTAGAAATATAAATCAGTCTCTAATACTTTAAAAAATAAATCTGCTGGTTGTCATGGCATCATAACCAAGAGCCTGTTGTTTATGGTCTGGAACTAGTAATACTAGTCAGAGCAACACTGGCGAAGATAAACTTGACTGTTGAATACAAGAAAATTTGGTAGAATGTCATGAAAATTTTATCTCAGTGAGGGATGTGTATAGAGAAATTTCTCCTGGATTCAGCCTATCAAGTGGAATTAGACATCTAGGAGACTCTATAGTTGAATCAAGTAAGTTGATAATTCCTCAAACCTCTCATCAGTATCAGTCTGAAAGCCTGAAGGAGCCAGATTCTAGAAAAGGTCACCAGAGTTTAAATAACCCTGTCAGTCATTTAGTCTCTGAATCAGTTGAGGAATCAAGGCATAGAGGAGACAGGCAATGAGGTTTTAATTAGGTAGTCTGTAGATCACTTTGAGCTCTTGGGAGATAATTTTACTTTAACCAAACCAGAGAGCGTGCACATTTGAGGTCAGATGTCATGTTCTGTGGGGAAAGACCATCTTATTATACACACACACACAGACACACACACACTTTTTACTCTGAAAGATGGACTCTCTTGCAATTTAAATTCAGATACATAAATTCTGTCATGTTCAAATGAAATCTATCCATTGTATATATTCAGTTTACATTCAGAAAGGAAGAAAAAGTGAGGAGTGTTTGAACAGGGGACCAAGGTTTGGGGGAATGCGGTTTAGATTCTTTATTCATCCACTGACTGGTCACGAATAAATTACCTTCTGAGTTGCATCATGCATAGAATTTTTTACAACTGATGACATAATAATGATTGTTGAAGTAAGGTGTAAAATATGTAGCCTGAGTGAATTGAGGATGCAATTTAATTGCCTTTTCAAACAAATATTCACTCCTCCCTTTCTCACAACCCTTGTTACTCCTTGGGAGTTGAAGGTGAGCTCCTTTTTGAGAGGTACATTAACTTCCTTAAACCAGAGGAATGCTTATTATTAAATTACAGTCCAACCTTAGTGGTGGGCAGTAGCCTTATGTGTGGGCTTCCCTGCCCCAAAATAGTTCTCTCACAGGTCTATTGATTATTCCAAGCATTCTATCAGAAGGCTTTGTCTTAAATAAAATACAAATGCCCAGGACAAATAGAAAGAGATGGATCATTTCTACCTTAAAATGAACAGAGTTTCATCAGATTCTTTGAGAACAGGTTGTATCCATGGGGCATGAAGGCCTGGACCTCTGAGCAGGAGAGAGAGGATGGTGGCATCTGAGTGCCGTCTGGAAGGAGAGGAAAGGCTTTGAAGACATGCATCTCCTTTTCTATATTTTCACCTCAACCTTGCCTTTATTTACAGAAACAGGGCCTCAGAGTGGTTTTGAACCTACCACATGGGCCAGCCACAGCAGTTAGGATTACTTGGGCCTTGAGTAACAGAGGTACTCAGAATAATGGCGTAAACAAGATAGAAGTTTACCCTCTCTCTCACATAAAAGAAGTTCAGAGGTTGGCAGCACAGGACTGGTATGGAGGTTACATAAAGCCATCAAAGAATCAGGCTCCCCCTAATACACTGTTCAGAGAAACATAATTGTATCTTTGTTCTTAGAGTTCAAGATAGTTGCTGGAGCTCTAGCCATTACATCTGCTTTCCTGAAATGGAGAAAGGAGACTCCAACAGAATGGAGAAAGGAAAGAAGGGCAGGTCCTCTGTCTCTTACGAAGACTTAATGAAGGTTCCATATAACACTTTCATATACATCTCATTGGCCAGAACTTAGAAACATAGTTTCAAAGGCTTCAAGAAAGTCTGGGAGTTATAGTCTTTTAGTTGGCCAACTCATTGACAGCCAGTTAAAAATTGAGGATTTTGTTAATTTGAGAGAGAAAGGGAGATATTTTTTAGGTAACTAGACATGCCTTTCAAAGTAGCTAACATTTATTAAATGCTTATTATATATGGCTAGTTATTGTGCTAAGCACACGCATTATTTTATGTAATCCTCACAGTGTCTCTATGAGACAGATACTATCATTATCCCCATTTCACAGATGAGGAAACTAAGGCTCAGAGAGGCTTGCCTAGGTTGCACAATAAGTAGTAGAGTGGGATCTCAAGTCCAGGTCTGGCTCCAGAGCCTCTGTGGGTCTGTCATTTTATCTCTGTTGCCATAGTTTTGGGAAACCATTCTCTAACAAAGATCTCTAAATGTTAATGCCACCCTAACAAACACAAAGCACCTAAGCCATTTATCACTTGCTCCTTTGTATTTTTTTTAAATCAATGGCATTAATGTTGCTTTAACAAAAACATAGGTGAAAAATTGAACATGTGCCTCACTGGCAACCTGTACTTCTTAGAAATGTTCATTTAAATGATCTAACAAAAAGGAAAAAGAAATAAAATGAAAAAATACAAAACCAACAACAGAAAAAACTAAAAAGTTAAAATTTTAAAAAAAGATCTAACAGATGGGACTCATTGGGCTAAAAAGTAAGAGTGAACCGAGATCTTCAAATTCCCTTTCTAAGTCTAATCCACTAATTAACTTCCTTTTCAGTTTAACATGTGAAAGAGAACTAAAGTAGGGTTAAGAAAGCAGGGAGACTGCTGTGCTTTAAGGAAACAGAATTGACTGGACTCACATTGAACTTGAATTTGAATCTCAGCTCACTTAGCCAATCTGGGCATCTGTATTAGTCTGGGAGAAACAGAACCAACAGGAGATTAGATAGATAGATAGACAGATAGATAGATAGATATGGGAGAGAAATTGATTATAAGGAGTTGATTCGTGCGGTGTGGAGGCTGAGAAGTCCCCACATCAGCAGGCAGCAAGCTGGAGAGCCAGAAGGTAGTTCCAGTCCGTCCAAAGGCCTGAGAACCGGGAGAGCTGATGGTGTAAGTTCCAGCCCGAGTTCAAGTCCAAAGCAGGAGAAGACCATGTCTCACCTCGAAGACAGGCAGAGAGAGCAAATGCTCTCTTACTCAGCTCTTTATTCTATTCAGGCCCTCAATGTATTGGATAAGGCTCACCCATGTTGTTAGGAAAACTAGTTTATTTATTCCACAGTTTTTGAATGCCTCCTACCATGCCAGCTACTTGTAGATGTACTGGGGATGTATAATAGATGTGAATAAAAACAGACCCTGTTACTTCCTCTCAGGGCATTTATATTCTAGGGAGGAGAAACAGACAATAAACAAATAAACATATAGTATGGCAGGTGTAAGTGCTAAGAGAAAAAATAAAGCTGAGTTAATACAGATTAAGCATTCAGAACAGTGCCCGGCACATAGTAAATGCTTAGTAAATGGAGGTAGTTAGTGTCATCCTCATCGTCATTGTCATCTTCCTCGTCATCGAAGTGGGGATGGCAACAGCTCCTTGTCTGCCTCTCAGCGTAAAGGTGGAGATCAGGGATGATATTAATAGTAATTTCAGGTGGTTTTTATATATATACATGGTTTTTCCTTATAATCCGTATATATTAGTTTTGTACAAAAAGAAAAAGGATGGTTACTTCCTGTAAGAAAACCAAATCAATAGGAAATGTGAACAGGGCTGTGACTGGGTTAGTGGAGAAGTGAAAAGGCAAAAATGGAAAAATGGTGACCCAAAAGGTTAAAAGGAACATTCAAACCAAAACTGGCCTTCATCAGTCTGGTAAGGGGCTCATCATAAAACAGTGGTTTGAAGTGTTAAGCCTGTCCCCTCAGACCAAAATCTCAAAAGGTAATGCTGTATTTTAGGGGGAAAACAATTATTTGTCCTATATTAATATTTCTTTACTTTGCCTAGGTTTTACA